TCTGAGCCCCCCAATGGAGTGCAACACAGGTCTATGTGGGGTCTGAGTCAGGGAGGGGCCAGGCTACAGACCTGTTTGAGGGCAGGGAGAAAACCTGGGGGATTGGTCCCATTTGGTGACCTGATTAACATTTTAGCTTGTCTCCCGGGCAGAGAAGATTGGTCCCATTCAGTAGCCTGATTAGCATTTTAGCTTGTTTCCTGGGCAGAGAGGGCAGTGAACGATTTTTACCTTTTCCTGTTCATTGTCTGATCCTGAAGCTGATGCAAAATAGTCTCCTGTTATTGTTAGATACTGACAAGTCAGTTCCAACTCAAAGTGGGCCCATGAACACAGCTAAGCACCCCACACACACACACACACCAGCCTCACAAGCGTTGCTGTATTTGAGCTACTATTACAACCTTCTCCTTGAGCATCTTCCTCTTTTTCTTTGACCCTGTACCAAGCACGATTTTCTTCCCCAGACACTGGTCCCTCCTGCTAATCATACGTCCAAAGTACAGAAGATAAAGCCTCATCATCGATTCCAAGGAGCATCTGGCTGTATTTCTTCCAAGTTTGATTTATTTAGTTTCCTGGTACTCTGGAGTATATTTAATATCCTTCTGCAACACGTAACTCAAGTCAAAGGTATCAATTCTGCTTCTAAGTTTCCATTTCCACAGATGAGTTGGCCTAGGGGAGTCTAGTCTCCTTCTCTCCTGAATTTATTAGTCCGTAATAGCTGCATGTGGTACAACCAGGGGGGGGCCATCTGATGTTGGGGCACCCGCTCCACTAGAGGGAAGCAGAGATGTCTCAGGAAGAACACGATCCAATGGCCTTCTCTGGAGAGCTTGGAACGAACGCAGACTTTGGGTTTCAAGTGTGTTGGTGGTCTTGGCGGTTGCTATGGAGTCCGCTGAGACTCTTGGTGACTCGGCATAACAGAAGGTGGCATTGCCTAGCCCTACACCATCTTTGTAACTGTGCGTGTGGTTGAATCTATGGTTGTGGCTGTTGCGCCTTGTTTACATCTACCGTCTGCCAATCATGCTGTCTTCTTCTAACAATTGTCTTCCTGATGATGTAGCCATAGTAGCCCAGCCGGAGTCTCACCATCCACAATTGTAAGGGGCATCCCAGTTGTACTTCCTCCAACACAGATTTGTTTGTTTCTCTGTCGGTCCACAGTGTGCTCATTCTCCTTCACCAACACCACTTGGAATGCATCACTCCTTCTTCAGTCTTCATTTTCACTGTCCAGCTTTTGCACAGAGATGGGAGGCGACCGAGCAAACCACGGGTTGGGTTCAAATCCCACTTGCATGATTTTCTGAAGCCGTCGTGCCTTTGTTTCCTCATCTGTCACGTGGACCCTAGTGGCCATCAGAGAACAACTAAGGTGCAAACAATGCAAATAAGGTGCATGGCATCCTTGTGGGAGTGTAGCCGTGAAGATTCAGTATATGGAGTCCTAATGCCAGGATTGGTCAGTTTTGCCATCCTAGAGCAGAGGGGGCACCTCTCTGCAGTCAAGAAAGAAGAGCCAGAAGCAGAGTGTGTCTTTTGGACCTAGGATCCCTGTGGAAGACCCCCTAGACCCTGAGCTGGAATACCAAAGCAGCGTAAGATGGTGAGAAGTGGAGGTGAGTGTGGCAGAGAGCAGCAGCAGCAAAACCAGGCACTGGGGGAGACAGCACTGTAATCGCCCCACCCCACAGAGCAAGAGAGCTGAGGGAAGCATCAGCCAAAGAGAGGAACCCCCCCCCCCCATGAGATGGACTGACACAGTGGCCACAACAATAGGCGTGGCTGAGGAGCTGTCTGGATCACAGAACTACGTCCTGAGCTGTTACTATCCTGTCTTGTAACCTAGTCTTTTCCTAATGGAGTCCTGGTGTGGACCTACACTGGACTGCTAACCACAAGGTCAGTGATTCGACCTTGTGGTTGCCTAACTTGATGGCATTTAACAACATCAGCAACATTTTCTGATACGTTCCCCTCATCCGTCAGTTTGTTGTATTGTGCGACGTGTGTATTGCTCTGATGCTGGAAGCTATAGCAGCAGGGTCACCCATGGGTGACAGGTTTCAGAAGAACTTCCAGATTAAAACAGACAAGGAAAAGGACCTGGAGCTACAATCCACATCCAGGGAACCCTAACTACCTTTTGCATTGGCCAAATCTACTGCCAAAGATCTGTTTAAAAATGTAAAGAGCAAAGATGTCATTTTGACATCTTTGGCATTTTGACAGGTGCACCTGGCCTAAACCATGGTATTTGCAGTCCCTCCGATGCTTTCAAACGTTGCACAACTAATAAGGAAGGCTGAAGAATCAATGCATTTGAATTATGGTGTTGGAGAAGAATATTGGAAGTATCATGGACTGTCTGAAGGACAAGTCAATCTGTGTTGGAAGAAGTACAGCCACAATGCTCCTTAGAAGCCAGGACATTGAGACTTTGTCTCACATGCTTTGAACATGTTACCAGGAGGAACCAGTCTCTGGAGAAGGACGTAGAGGGTCAGGGAAAGCGAGGAAGACCATTCAAGAGCTGGTTTGACACAGTGGCTCTGAAATAGCAATGATTGTGAGGCTGCGCGGGACAGGGCAGTGTTTCATTCTCTTGTCCATAAGGTCGCTCTGAGTCGGAACTGACTCACCAGCCCCTAACAACAACAACAACAACAACAGGCTACAACCCAGGACCTGGTTCAGGAGTGTGTAGACAAAGTCTCCCTTCAGTGCAGGGCGGCTTTCTCAGGCCTGCTTACAAGAGTCAGCTCTGCTTGCTCAGGTCAAGTCCAGCCCCTCAGTTTTCAAGTCCTGCAGAGAAAGGGGCATGCTCAGAATGTTTGGAAACTTATTTTTGTTTTGTTTTTTCATGTAAAGGGGGGTGTGGAGAAAGTACCCATTTCCTGTGGGCCGTGGGAGACACACATTGGTTTCAATGGAGATGAAAGGACACTGGGAATGAAGACGGATTGGGTAGCGGGCCTGTCCAGGGAGGGAGGAGCTCATGTGGGGAATCTACAAGCATCGCAGGTCAGGTAATCCTTTCATTCTTTCTTTTTGTTTTTAAAGGTTTTGCTTGTGAATTGAGTGAAAGTTTACAGGGCAGATGGTCAGTTTTACATTCAACAAAACATATACTTTGTTTCATTACAATGATTATAATCCCCTCCATGTACCATCAGTTAACAATATTTTTCTCTATTCATTTTAGTTCTCTCTCTCTTTTTCTAAAAAATACTCAGGCATATAATTTAAACCACCAAAAGGCACGTACATTCCAGGTAATTCTTTCTTAAGGAGCCCTGGTGGTGCAGTGTTTAAACTCACAGCTGCTAAAGCCAATGGTTGAAACCCACTATCTGGCCCGCGGGAGAAAGATGAGGCTGTCTGCTTTCTTCATGATTTACGGCTTCAGAAAGCAGACGGGGTAATTCTGCCCTGTCCCCCAGGGTCACTATGAGTTGGCATCCACTGTTTGGCAAACAGGACTTGGGCTTCTTTGTTGTCTTTGTAGACTGTTTAGCAGCATCCCAGACTCCTACCTATTAGATGCCTGTAATGTCCCCATCCTCCCCTGCAAGTGGTGACAGTGAAAATATCTTCAGAGTCAAAGGTCACACCTGCTGCTATTGAGTTGATGCCAACTCATGGTACCCCGTGTGTGTCAGAGGAGAACTGTGCCCCACAGGGTTCTCAGTGGATGATTTTTCATAAATAGATTCCATTCAAGGTGCCCCCACATATGTCAGAGTAGAACTGTGCTCACAGTGTTCACAGTGGATGATGTTTCATAAGTAGATTCCACTCATGGTGCCCCCGTGTGTGTCAGAGTAGAACTGTGCCCACAGGGTTCTCAGTGGATGGTTTTTCATAAGTGGATTCCACTCATGGTGCCCCCTGTGAATCAGAGGAGAACTGTGTTCACAGGGTTCTCAGTGGATGGTTTTTCATAAGTGGATTCCACTCATGGTGCCCCCTGTGAGTCAGAGGAGAACTGTGCCCACAGGGTTCTCAGTGGTTGTGATCTTTTAAAGCAGATCTGCGGCCTTTGTAACACAGTACCACAACAGCCAAGGGCAAACCATTTGTACCACCTGGAACCCTTGTTGCATGCCGCCAAGTCAATTCCAATTGCGACCCTGTTGGACAGGGTAGAAGTGTCCCCACAGGGTTTCTTCGCCCATGGAGCGGCTGGTGGGTTTGAACTGCAGACCTTTCGGTTAGCAGCCAAGCAGTTAACCACAGGACCACCAGATTTCCTTCCCAAGGGTCTAGACTTTGCCGAGTGTCCGCAGAGGTCAAGATCTCCCTTGATTGGAAGCTACTGATACCAAGCATCAAGTTCACAAACTCCCCAATAATTCTAACAGCGATCGTTTGTGAACATTTATAAAGCTGATCTCCAATCCCCACAATTATGTTACAAGGTGAACTCATAAACCAGACCCACTGTCGTTAGATTGGTTTTGACTCACAGAAAACCTGTATTACAAAGAAGCTCTTACCATCTACAGTTTAAGTTGAAGAAATCAAGCCTCAGAGTTAAAAACTTGCCCAAGTTACTTTATACAGCTGGTAGTTTGGGATTCTGACCTAGGTTGGTCTAACTTCAAAACTCACATAGTTCTTTCGGCAACTCTCCTGCACTTAGAAATGTAAGTTTTCTCTCTTTCTTTCTTTAAAATAAGGTAAATCTTCTCACGTCGACTCAAGTCCAAAAATAATTACTGAGTTAGGCACCTTCTGCCAGAGCAATCGTAGATGCTGTCTGTCTCAAGGAGATTTCAATACCAGTATCCAAATCAGTATCAATGTCTCCTTTACACGGCACAGAGAGAGCAAGGCCAGGGAGCCTGAGTTTGAGCCAAAATGAGTGTTCCTAGCGGCAGAACTTTCTGAACGGAATGCCCTTGATTCAATCCTGAGACAAACAGAAGAGGAAGCATGGCGGCATTGACGCCCATAGATCTACCAGCCACATGTTGTCCTGAGCGTCAGTTTTCTTGTCCCGGGGTGGGCTGCGGGTTGCTTCTAGACAGGCATCCGGCCATCTTCTTGCCAGCCCTCTGCAGGAAATCCAGCTGTCCCCGCTCCCTCCGTATGGCTGTGTACTCATAAGCCTTGAGCTTGGCGTAGTAGTCAGAGAACTTGTTGTAAAGGATGGAAATAGGCATCCCATTGAGAATGATCCCAAAAGCAATGCAGAGGAAGGTGAAGAGCCGACCCAGGTGGGTCTCGGGGTACATGTCTCCATAGCCCACTGTGGTGATGCTAACCTGGATGGAGAAGCAGGCAGGATGGAGGGTTAGAAGAAGGAGAAGAGGGGAGGAAGAACAGGGGCCACATCCTCGGTCTCCTGAGAAGTGTCCCTAGGTAGTACAACCAGAGCCTGTGTTGTTGTTGTTATGTGCCATTGAGTCAGTTCTGACTCATGGTGACCCCGTATAGGGTTTATGAGGAACGGCTGGTGAGTTTGAACCGTTGACCTTGTGGTTCAAACCGACCTTGTGGTCCAGTGCTTTATCCCATACTCCACACCAGGAGGACCCTAAGGAGACCGTGATGTTGCTATAAACTCCGAGAAATCATTCAGTCTGCCCTGCAGTTCCAGCTACACATTGCTGGTGAGTTAATTAGATGTTTGACCAAATATAGCAGGCTAATATTTAAGTTGATAATATTGTATGGCCCACAAATGATGTTATAAAATTTGGCAGAAATAAAGTTCCTCATCCCTGCTGTAGAAGGTTACCCAGGAGCGGCTGGTGGGTTTGAACTGTCAACTTTAAGTTAGCAGTCCAGCGCCACACCAGAACTCCGGGAGCCTGCGATGTTGTTAGTACCATTCAGTTGGGTTTGACTCATAGAGAACCTGGAGACAGTTCCCCAGGAGTGGTTAGTGAGTTTGAACCGCTGACTTTGTGGTTAGCAGTCCAGGGTTTATCCTCCAGCTTCACAAGAGCCCATGTTGTTGTTATTAAATGCCATCGAATCGGTTCTGACTCATAGCAATGCTGTACAGGGTTTCCCAGGAGTGGCTGGTGAGTTTGAACTGCCGACCTTGTGGTTAGCAGTCCAGTGCTTATCCTACATTGCCACACCAGGAACCCACTTTGTTGTTGTTGTTAAGTGCTGTCAAGTTGGTCCCTACTCATAGCAACCCTGTGTGGAGTTCCTGAGGAGCCTCTGGTGAGTTTGAACTGCTGACCTTGTGGTTGAAACCAGCCTTGCGGTGGAGTGCTTACCCTATAGTGCCACACCGGGAGCTGCCAAAAGTTAGAAAGAACACCAGCTTTTGGAGCTGGAAGAAACCCAACCCAACCCACAGTAGTCCAGTTGACGCCTATAGGTTCACTCAGGACAGAGGCGAGCTGCCCACGGGGCTCTCAAGACTGTCATCTTTACAGAAGCCGGCGGCCTCATCTTTCTCCCACAGATGGCTGGGGGTTCAAACTGCCAGTCATTCAGGTAGCAGTCCAATGCTTAGCCCACTGCACCACCAAGGCCCCTTGGAGCTAGAAGACTTGGGTTTAAATCTTGATTACCACTCGTCAGTTTTCTTACGTACAATTACTGTTGCTGCTCTTATAATGTCATGAAGTCAGTGCTGACTCAGCGGCCCTGGATGTGTACAATAGAGGGGAAATAAGACCACTGGGAAAAGTGTATTAGATAACATTGTTGTTGTTGTTATGTGCCGTGGAGTCAGTTCCGACCCATAGCGACCCCGTACAGGGTTTCCGAGGCTGGGAAAAGTGTATTAGATAACATTGTTGTTGTTGTCATGTGCCGTGGAGTCAGTTCCGACCCATAGAGACCCCGTACAGGGTTTCCGAGGCTGTAAATCTTTACCGGAGCAGAAAGCGTCATCTTTCTCCCACGGAACAGCTGGTAGTTTCGAACTGCTGATCTTGTGGTTTGCAGCCCAATTCTTAACCACATAGCAAAAAAAAAAAAAAGCAGTTGCCATGATGTCACTGACTCACAGTGACCTGCATCAGAGTAGAACTGCGCTTCATGGGGTTTTCAATGGCTGATATTTTGGACATAGATTGCCAGGTCTCTCTTCTGAGGCACTTCTGGGTGGACTCAAATCCCTAACATTGTGGCTGGCAGCTGAGTGTATGAACTGTTTGCACATCAATCTTGTGAAGTCCTGGTGTAGGATGTGTTCAATAAATGTGGGTCCTTGTCTTCCTGAATTTGCCTATGTAATTTATCAGAGGACTTCAGAGGATTCATGGGAAACTGGAATTAAAAGGTAATGATAATCTTACACTGCAGGAACAGAGGGCCCAAGGACCATAAATGGAGAAGAGCATGTGCAGAATGTGGGACCTTATCCAGAGAAGCAGCGACACCAGAGATGGAAGCAGAGATGAGGACATGGAGAGAGGGAGCAGCTGAGGACTCTAGACTCATGGAAAGAGAGGGACTGGGTGCTGGAGGCCAGGAGGCAGGCTTGCAGAATGTGTTCTTTGATTATTTAGATTATTATATATTCCTGAGTGTTTTTGTGTACATCTACCTCCCCACCCCCCACCCCAAAAAAAGAGGAAATGGAAGCCAATACTGTTGAATGATGATGCATGGGGTGGGGGATTGTAATCACTGCAATGAAATGAAATAAAATAGGATGAGTATAAAACTGATGTCCTCCCATGTAAACTACCACCCAATTCATAATTAAAAAAAAAAAAGTAATGAAAAATCTCCATGAACAGTCTGAAGTCCTTTCCTTCATGTACTAGAAAGAGCTTGGGATTAGAACTGGTCAGCCCAAGTTCAAATCCTGTCTCTGATCTTTCTTAGCTGGGGCAAGACATCAGACCCCTGTTTCTCCATCTTTAACAGGGGGATAGACCCTAACTCTCAGGATTCTTTTGAAGACTAAATAAGGTCGTGAATATCAAGAACATAACATAGTATCAGGAATCCCCGGGTGGCACTAACAGTGAAGCACTCACAAACAAACTGAAAGCTTGGTGGTTTGATTCCTCCTGAGGAGTGTCAGAAGAAAGACCTGGTGATCTTCTTCCCAAAGATCCAAATCAAAGCAGTTACAGTAGAGTTGGCTTGAACTCACCATGACCCCATGTGCATCTAGTTTAAGTGTGCTCCAAAGGGTTTTCTTGGCTGTGACCCTTTAGAAGATTTCCAGGGCTTTCTTCCTAGGCTCTTCAGGGTGGGTTTGTAGGCAATCGCTCACTGAAAACCTCACGGAGCACTGTTCCACTCAGACACACACGTGGTCATCCTAAATTGGAATTAACTTAATGACAACTGGTTGGTTTGTTTGACTTTTGGTTTTAACCAGGATTTTGAACCAGTTCATTCTGGTTAATCCCTTGCTGAGACTGCATTACCACCCGAGATACGATGAGTCAGAACCTACATTTTAACAAGATCTTAAGTCCTGGCGTGTCCCTATAATCACTGGACTTCAAGGTCGGTTTGAACCACAAAGTCAAGGGCTCAAACTCACCAGTCACTCCTCAGAAATCCTCTAAGGGTCGCTAGAGTCAGAACTGACTCAGTGGTACTTAATAACAACAGCAATATAGACTCTATAGGAGTCCTGGTTGTGCCATGGGTTAAGCATTGGTCTGCTAAATGCAAGGTCAAACCTACCAGCTGCTCCTTGGGATAAAGCTGAGGCTTCCTGGTCCCATAGAGATTTACAGTCTCAGAAACCAAAAGGAGCAGTTCTCCTCTGTGCTTAGGTTGCTGTGAGTGGGTTGGGTTTGGTTTTATAAGAGTCCCCTGGGCTCTTATTAAAATGTAGATTTTGATTTGGTCTATTCTGAGTGGAAAGGCAAACTTTCAGTAAGACGCTGGAACCGGAATGAACTGGTTCAAAGTCTTGGCTTTAACACAGTATCAGGGGAATTGAAGGCACCAGACAGGCTCCACCATAGTTCTTTAAAATGCAGGCAATATATAATCCTTCTTGGAGCTGTACGGAGTGTTCTGTATGAGGGTACTTTCATTGCAAGTGTCTGACGAAACATTCTCTGACAACAACTATGCTCGCTTGCATAGAATTCGTCTCATTACTCTTGTCACACTGCTTTAAACCCTATTAATTAGCGATTTATTTGGGTTAACAAGCTTCTGTTCTAAAATGCATATACCCACGGGACAGAAAAAGCCCTAACAAAGTCCCCAGGGGCCTGTTTCTACGCCTCATGTAGTACAATTCCCACTGGTCCTCAAACAATTGGCTTAACTAATAGAAACCTTTAGGCTGAGCTGTGGCTGGTGGTGCAGATGGTGCTAACTGCTCGGCTGCTAACTGAAAGACTGGAGGTTCGAGCTCCCCACCATCCACCGAACCCAACCCACTGTTATGAAGTTGGATCTGACTCAGAGGCCTGATGTACGCTTCCCAGGGTTTCCATGACTGTAAACCTTTATGGGGGCAGACAGCCTCAGCGTTCTCCTGCGGAGTGACTGGTGGATTTGAACTGAACACGTAGTTAGTAGCCCAATGCTCATCCTGCAGTGCCACACAGGCACTAGATAGAAAGGCCTGGTGAGATGCTTCTGAAACATCAGCCACCGAAAGCCCTCTGGATTGGCAAGGTCCGCCCCGTGGCTGAAGGTAAGGGTGTTACCAGACCATCATTTTGGTCCATCGGGCATGAGGTGGCCACAAGTGAGATGCCAACTCCATGGCAGCTAACCACACTCCAGCTTTGGTCAGGAGTCTGCAGACATTTCCAAATATCATCTCAGTCATAAGGACAGAAGTTATCCAGTACTTTTCAACCAAGAAAAAATGTAAGCTTTACAAAGGCAAGGGACTGAGATGGCTCCATATGATAAGCACTGGACTGCGAACCGTGGGGTCTGCGGTTCAAATCCTCCAGCTGCTCTGTGGGAGAAAGATGAGGCTTTCTGCTCCCTCGAAGATTTAAAGCCTTGGAAACTCTGTACAGCGTCGCTATGAGTCAAAAACAACTCGACAGCACTTAACAACAACATAAAGGTTTGGATGGGGAGTTCCATAGCTCTGTAGCATAAGCACTGGACTACTAACTACAAGGTCATGGTAGTTAGAACCCACCAACAGCTCCGAAAGATGAGCCTTACTGCTCCCACAAAGATTTACAGCCTCAGAAACCCTACTCGACAGCACCTAACAATGAAAGTATTTATCAAACGGCAGACTTATGCAGAATGTACTTGTGAGTCTGTTTTCTTTACAGCAGAGACTGGCAAAAGTTTGAGTTCCCCGAGAGATGCTGGGGAAGAAAGGCCTGGTGATTGCCTG